ATTGACCTTTTTATATTCAGATAAACACACGCTGTTTTTGCTGTGAATCTATTACGTATTCTGTTTTGTACGGTGAAGTGCAGTAAGTCTGTTTAGGAAGAGAAACTATATTTTCTATTCCATGTGTATGAAGCAGCTGTACCTTACTGTATGTGCTTATGTTGATTTATGGCTTACTATGGATATAAGCACATAATTTTCCTGAAGAAAAAAAATAAACTGTAAACATTTGAGAATGGATTTTCTGGAGGGAAGAGAGTCGGATGAGCTGTTTTGTTTAAATAGGCAGAGAAGAAAAAGTACATTTCCATGTTCAAAAAACCAAACCGGCCACAATATCATCACTATTGTAAGGATATTTTCAGTGCCTTTGTTCGACGTATAATCTATTGTAAAACCTGCTTTTAATGTTCCAATCAAAAAGCATTTTTATTTAATCTGAATTTACACTGTTTTTGTCTCTGCCACTTTTTAGGTACTACCCCAAACATCACGTGTACAGATAAATAAACAAAATCAGGGTTAAACTGTGTGTTCAGCTGTGATTTTTAACTATCGTGTTCATAGTGGCATTACTAACATGCTAATGGTACTGTTGGTATCATATCATCATACCATCTTTAACAGGTTGGCAGCAAAGTTATAAATCACAATCAACCTAAAAAAAAAGTTTACAGGTCTTCATGTAGTCCCATGAAAAATTAAGCACATCCAATGAGTTTATAGCTTGTAGAAGCTATAACTGGTTACACTTTATAATAACTACACACTATTAATCATTAGTAAAGTACTAGTTAATACTTTTAAATAATGAATTAAGTATTAAGTAATGCTTAACCATTGCTCAACAGTGTGTTATTATTATGAACTGCTGCCTAGTAACCTGGCATAATCATGATTTTTATCAGCCCCTCACATCACTGTGGAGGAGTTTTGACCCACTTATCTTGTGTTGCATCAGTTCATTGAGGTTTGGGGCATTTGCATATGCACAGCTCTCTCTGTCCCACCATCATTTCACTCAAGTTGAGGTCCTGACTTTGACTGGGCCTTGCAAATTTGCTTGTCGTCATTGTCCTGTTACATGGCCAAGTTTCGGCCAAGATTTAGCTGTTGGACAGCTGGCCTCACAGCTGACTCTAGCATAGTTTGGTATGCAGAGGAGATCATAGTCAACTCAAGGTGCCCCGGTCCTGTGGCTGTAAAACAAGCCCAAATCATCATCCCTCCACCAGCGTGCCTGACAGTTATGATGTGTTTGTGCTGATATGCTGTGTTGTGGTGCTGTGGCACTGTGCTTCTCCACTTTTGGCCTCATGGTTTTGTGGTTTGCAAAGTTAAGCTATGCTGCCGTCTTCTTTTTAGAAAGAAGAGGCGTTCTCCTGCAACCCTCCCAAACTGACTTTTTTTACTGACTTGATTGCCATGAACTTTAACATTCAAGGTGTTAACGCCGGCCTGAAGAGTCTGAGATAAAGCTCTTGGGTTTGTTGCAGTTTCTCTGAACATTGCATGGTCTGACCTTGGGGCAAATTTGCTGAGACATCCACTCCTGGGAAGATTGCAGCATTGTGTTAATGCACACCTGAATGCTTCAGAGCAGCAAACTGTCAAAACTTCAGCTTTTATAGTGGTTCTCTCTATAAAAGCTGAGGATCAGTTAATCAAGTGCATTTTAGGGCGGCTATAGTTCAGGAGGTAGAGTTGGTCATCTACTATTTGCAAGTTAATTGCATACCTTTGTTTTTTAAAGTAGTCTTATAGGGACAATGTTCTGTCCGAGATTTCTGTTGAGGTTTCTTTGAGTGCCACCTGTCTGTGTTCCCATTTAAGACATTTATAAAGAGATTTAGTCTCCATGAGTTTACTTAACAAGCACGATCCTTGCTTATTTGTCACGTCGCCGCTGATGATCTCATTTTTAGAATTTGCATCAGAGACTTGCGACATGTTAGCAGACAGCTTTGATTGCACTGCTTGCTGCAGTTACACTGCCTTCTCTTTCTTCTCGTTGATTAGTCATTCTGACGTTGAACCTGTTGATTTTGTGATAATAAACATTCACAATTTAGCAAAAAAAAATGGGGGGGGGGATGAAACAGCAGCAAACAAAATCAAAACATTACCAGATTTTTAAAGGACAACTGCATCATTGCTACGCTGGCAAGTAAAGCAAATTTATCAGCTATTTACAGCCACATGCAATCATCTTCATGCAGCTTGTTTTTCAATGAAAGTTCAATGGTTCATTCAGATGTTTGTCTGACCTTCTCAGAGTCCTAAATGGCTCTTCTATTCAGCTGCATGAGACTGAATCACTGTCATCTTGAATAAACTATGAGCCACTTCAGCCTTGGAGGCTCCACATTGTTTGACAAAGAAATAAATCAGCAGGAATCACATTGATGGCAGAGCTCTTAGATCAAAATGTTGAAAAGCTGCTGCACTCTCACTCACAGCGATACCACCTGGACAAATGAAGCAATTTTTAAGAATATATATATCAAGAGTCACCCAGCTGATTCAGTCTGTGAGCAAAGGAGAGCAATTGGTGATGCTAAATAAAGCTGCCCATATTTTCTTCCTCATTTCCAAAAGGCTATGTATTTTGTCAAATGTGTTGTAGCTGCTATTACTGCACAATACACCATATATGAAATATCTGCATCATGTGTGCTAGTGGATACACAGTGAGATACTCCACATTTAGCTTCGCATCCAAAATTAAAACTGCATTACTCATTTTTAGGTGTAATTACACTGGTGTTGGTTCATTTTAATCTAATTAGGGGAATTATCTTCAGATGTTAATATCTGATGTTGCTGTACAGCAGTTAAACCAACCCTTTGTAATTTCAGTCTAATTTCATTTTTCTTCAACCCATGCTCACAATTAACTCACAATTCACCATCCCAAATCACCTTAGCTAAACCTTGCCCCATAAATCGATGGTCAAAGCTTTTGCTAGAACAAGACAAAAACGTGAGGGTGGTGCCACCGAGGCGAACGTGCGTTGTATCCAATCCCATCGTTTTATAGAAGAATATTAACATGACCTTCATAGAAATGGCCTTGGGGCATGGGTAATCTAATTTAGCTTGAGTAATGTTGCCTGTCATTAGGAAATGAATACAGTTGGGTCCCTCTGAAGGCTGTGCAATCTAGTCTGGTATGGGTAAAATTAGCCACCAATTAAGGTTGTTTTTCATCCCGGAATAAAAACTCTAACAAGGAAGCTGGCTGCCATAATTGAAGTTAATCACTGCTGAGCTCAGATGTGGCAGTCCTGATTTCAGGAGAGGTGCTTTTGTACGTTTCGTTACTCTCATTGTACATTTCCAGCACTGACGGCTCACATGTGATACTCCCGGTAATGCTGATAACAATCCATCGAGTGGCACTCACAAGTGAGCCGGAGCTGCCTTCTTGCCAGATGCTGTCATCTCTTTTCAGTGTCTCTCCCCGCCGGTCGACTGGCATGGGGTGATCCCTCCAGTATGACACGGCTGTTGCTTAGAGACTGCGCCGCTGTGAGGTGTTTGGTCTCTCCACAGTCACCGGGGGGATCGCGAGCAAATGAAGCAGGTCAGAGGGCCACGCTGCAAGACAGGAAGCACCAAAAGACACTATTATTACACAGTTAGAGACAAGTGGCTGCTCTCACAGACTTGACAAGCGACTGGCCCTTTGGGAGAAAAAGCAGTTTTCGCTGCAGGTGAGATGCGATAATGAACACAACTGTTTTTCATCTCCTCTCGCCCCTCACAGTGGGTGTTCATTATTTAAGACAGATAGGAGATGATTTATCTTTTATGATCAATTTCTAGGTTGAGTTAGTTACTGATGGCTACAAAACACTCTGATCCTCACACATTAAATTCATTTCTAAGAAAATGAGATATCAGACTTGTGTGCCAGCATTATATCCTTCATCCTCTCAAGCGACTTTCCCCCTGACTTTGTCTTTTTTGTGTGCTCTTGGTTTAATGTTTTGCCTTTTAGTGGTTTAATAGCGCAGAGCTGTGTGAGTGTTGCAGGACAGAAAATGGGCCAGAGTCCTGTCTAATGTGGGTCACAGTGGTTTATTAAAAGCATGTCCATTTATTCAAGCCTTTCATAGGAAAATGGTTGATTGTGCCTTTGAAGTGCATCAGGCGTTACCAGATTTTTCCCCATCTTCAAACAGTGTCATATTTTGATTTTTGGTTACACCTCTAAAAGCATTTTGTATAAAATCAGATTTGGGGTATGATGAAAACACTTCTGTGTGCAGCTTTCCAAAGACACCTGTAGGATTTCAGTCTTTACACACACACACACACACACACACACACACGTTAAATAACACTCTTCTGTCAGTTGAATAAACCCCAAATTTTAAAGGCTTCTTTTGTGTCTTTCTGTATCTGGATCAGCTGCTGGCATCAGGTGGGACCCTTGGGTCAAACCTTGACTTCTGATTGGCTAAATAAGTAGATCAGCTTATTCAGAAGACAACTAATAGAGGACATCTTTGCCTCGGGAGTCCCCTGGCACAGAGAGCCTGAGACAATTGAGCTGGAATTGGATTGGACTGAATAAGAATATGACAGAGAGATGGGAGAGTGAATGTTCTGGATAAATGATGGATTGATCTGTATTTGGCATATCAGTGAAATATTGAAAAGCACTGTCAACATTTGCTGGAGATTTTTTACTGTATCATCTTTGATGTTGCAGTCAAACTGCAAAAGTACAGATGATCAACAGACTGTAGCAAAACTTAAACTGAAAGCATCTGATCTTAACCCACTTGGTGGGTAGTGTTTAGTGTACAGGTGTCAGCTCTACCAGGTACATCGTCTACTTATATTTGAATGGCCTCAGTTCACTAAAGGCGACAAGGGAGGGAGAGGAAGAGAGGAGCGAGGTAGAAACTAGGGCACTGTTATCTGGCCCCTTTTTACCAACCACCAGGCAGAAAGCAGAGAATGAGAAAGAACGAGCCTTGGAGAGAAGGAGAGAGGAGAGGACACCAGCAGTGAAGTGAAGCTTTAGTCAGGACGCGGGAACCTCCAGAGTCAACATCTGACACCAAGGACCTGAAGAAAAACAGCACAAACCTTGACTGACTCACACACTCGCAGGGACGTGCAAACCTGCGTGATTGGCTCGGAAAAGACCACAAACATGTTCGAGGAGCAGGCGACCAAGGTCAAAATCACATCCGTGGTGATCGTCGTCGGCATGTCAGCAATGCTGGCGGCGGTGGTGACTGACCACTGGGCTGTGCTTAGCCCCCGGGTGGAGAAGCTCAACGCCACCTGCGAGGCGGCCCACTTTGGCCTCTGGAGGCTCTGCAAGAAGAGCATCTTCATCGTGGAAGAGGACCCTCAGGGTAAAGGCTGCGGGCCAATCAGCTTACCTGGAGGTAAGTTGAGGTCAAGGTGATCTTCATGTCTTATTTATCTTTAATTTAATCTAATTTGTGGATTTGTTGTGTGGTAGCTGATGGAAAGCTTTCCTGGCTTGAGTTTCCAGGAGTGATAGTGAGAAGATGAAAACTTTGTGACATGTGGATTGGTGAATAATAATTAGAGCTTTATAAATCCATGTAGTTGAATAGACAAAATACCAAGAAAAAAATTCATTCCTCCTAAAACTAGTTTTAGGAGGAACTGGAAACAAACCATATCCCATTCTCTAAACGTGTGAGGCTCAAGTGTCAGTGTGAGCGTGCAGCAGTGCTGGTCAGCTTTTTTTTTTCCATCTGTGCAGCTGTCCCTTTCTCTATTTTCTCCATTCACACGCATACAATACCACATGCCAGCACATATGTTGGCACGTGCTGGCATGTGTGCATGCATTCACACAAACACACACACACACACACACACACACGCCCATGTGCTTGGACTGAATGTTTAACAGCTCTATGACCAGCTTCCCAGCGAACCATTATTATCTTCCTCAGAGGAAGTCACTGAACAGACTGCCAATTAAGCACATTCTAACAGCTGAAGTCAAGTTCGCAACGGAAGTGTGAATGTAGTTTTTATTTTATTTTTTTTTTGCCGTACTTCACAGTTAATTTTTTACTTTGTTGAATTTGTTCCGTTCGGGCTCTTCAACCTTCAGAGTACAAAGAGAAATAAAACTCAGTTTACCTCACAGCCTTTTCCTCTAATTTCCCTGCTTTTTCTCAGAAAACAGCAGAGTCTTACATCATTTGTCAAAATACCGTCTGACTCTTTCTATATTAAAATGAAAGCTCGGATGCTTTTTAACTGATACCTCTTTTGTCTTGTCTGACTCATAGTGTCAAAACAGATTTGCAACTGGCTTTGATCAAAATAGACATATAACTGTCGAGAGAGCAATTTTTAAGGATTTTTTTCTGATGCCGCTGATAAACAGCGTTTTGAAGGATGCTTAAATTCACTCAGCTGTGGAAAGAACTCCATTAATTGCAAGCTATTAAAAAAAAGAAAGCAAAAGTACAAGAGAGCCAAAGATGGTGCAAAATCTGTCAAAAAGTCAGGTAATTTTCAAAGTCATTTTAGAAGTCCTTTTGGATACTTGCGTAACATTTCATACTGTAACTCTGAAAATAAGTCAAAAACACAAGTCTAGCTTTTATTTAAGACTCTTTTTCCACCAAAAAAAAAAGTCTTTAATTAGAAACTCTCTCTGAACAGAGCCAGCCCTGGGGGTAAAGAGTGTCTCTCCCTGGCCTCTGGCTGTGTGTGCGTGCCTTGCAGCTTAACTGAAAGATTTCGCTCTGACTCTGTCATTGACTTTGCCTCCGGCTTCAGCACCTCAGGATCAGCGCAGGCCTTAATGAAGTGTGGCTTCCCGCTCCAGCTCATGAGTTAGAGTACACCTGGGAGACTCAGGAGGAATGAAGAAGACTTGGGGGGAAGAAAACAGACGATTGCTTGGGCGTGTAAAGGCAGGAATGCCCATATGGAGAGAGCGAGACTGGGTGCTCTTTTAGAGAGTCTGAAGATGGAGGAAAGAGATGGGACTTTCTGTCAGGAAAGATGATGCTGCACCTTATTTTACTGCATGCATCTCATGCGAATTGAGGTGGAGGCAAAAGGCAGGTGGAAAAGAAGTGTGACAGCTACCTGTCATAAAAATCTGAACACCTTGCAAAAATAGTCACAGATATATTTTTGTTTATTAAGACCTTTGCTGGGGATTTGTTTTCCTCGTGGACAAGTCAGTCACCTGTGGAATGCATGAAGGGCAGCATGTAGTATGACAAATGATCCAGTCACAACCATCACGGCCTGACAGAAGCACTAAAACAGTGTCGGAATATTTGTGCAAAATCTCAAGTGCTTCTTTGGCGCCACACCAAGAGTTCAGCTTAGCCTTAAGTTTGTTTCCATTTCTCCGGGTCTGCAGCGAGAAACAAAAAAAATATACCAGCTGTTTTGTCAGACACCCCTTGGCTACATTCCCACAACCACCATGATGCTTTCACATCTGGGTAATGAGAGAAAATGAGTCATTCTCTCATATCAGCTGAAAAGATCTAGAGATTTTGGTGTGTGGTTGCTCTAGCATTTTACTCCCACGCCAGGCTGAATAGTTTTGGTTACACAAGCCCATCTCTTCTCATTTGTGACCCTGCTGCTCTCTGTAGGCATGGCGGTGCTTCTCTAGTTCTAGCTTCCTTTTATGCACTGTAATCCAAAGACGACGCAGGGCAAGACACTGATTGGTCAGCCTATTTTGTGCTTTGTGTCACTGAACATCCTTACCAGGCTGACTGACCCACTCCAGTGCCTAGGAAAAGGTGTCAAAACGCATCCTCTGAGATGCTTTTTTCCACTTCCATCCACCAGGTCAGTCTGCCAGGTCTGCGCAGTTTGACATGAGGCGAGAGAGGACTGCGGAAGAAACAGCCATTCTCTGCCTTCAGAGGTCTTGGTTCTTGATGGAGTGCTACGAGGCTGAGCGGTGAGGGTTTAGGTAGAGCGCACATTGTATGTGCCTGAAATACTCGAGTGTCTTTTTTTACATAAGGGGGCTTTTGTTTGAATTTAAAAAGCCAGGCAACAAAACCGTGCAACTAGGTCTGCCTTGAAAAGTAAATTTGACTTTTCTAATTGATTGCAGACAACACCTAAAATCCAATTAGTGTGGCTGGCCATGCAGTTCTAATTAATTACTTTGATAGTTTAGGATTTATGAGTCCAGGCGACAAATATGACACCAAAATATGTGGAGTATGTACAAGCATGCCAGATTCTGAAGGCAAGCAAAAGCAAGCAGAGGGGCTGACTGGCTAACACCTGTGTTACCTTATCTGCTTCTAAATTTAATGTGTCAAGCATAAAAAGAAGAAAACTCATGAGTGCACTATAACAGATTACATCCTTGATGAAGAGTATACCCAAGCAAGCAGCAGTTATTGGACTTAATAACACAGATTTGCATTTTCCCCAAACAGAGGGGGAGTCAGTCGTCATCAGGAGCGTACACAAACCCCTTTTTTCATATAGACACAATTACACAGCTTCTGCGAAAGGGGTTGCGTAACAGCGGCAGCAAAGCAGTGAACCCAAATGACTTTTGAAATTAGCTTCCCACAAATGACGCATGACAGCTTGAGTGCTGTAAAAACCAAACAAACCCTTTATGGATCGCATCATGCAGCTCGGCTGGGAAATCAAGAGCGCAAATGGTGCTTTTGTGCGCACGTATGTGTTCCTTCACATATGTGCTTAGAGAAGCGAGGGAGAAGAGTTCATTATCAATGATGTTTTACTGCTTCCAAGAGGTCAACCATCGTGGTGGTTTTTTGGAGCTCCAAAAAACACCTTCAAGTATAAAAGCTTGCCTCTGACACAGTGCCTTTCAAATGCCCTCGATTCATAGACACAGTAGCACCAACATCACCTTGAGCCACCCTTTTCTGTTTCTTTCCAACCACGCTCTGAGCGCAGAGCCCAAAACTGCGGAGGTGTGTCGCTGGAATTTGGTATTCAGAAAACAACTCACAGCTTCAAAATTTCAGATGAATCATTCCACGATATGTAAATTAGAAATATATAAAAAGAAATTACAGAGCTCAGGGATGGTGTCGCTTGCAGGATGAGCAGAGGACTAAGAAACGTTACTGTTTTAAATTTCATAATAAAGGTCAGGACACACACAGGAGACATGAGGGTAGTGAGGACTCTCCTGTGCTGTTTTGTCCCAGATACCGGTGCTCAGGCGGAATAGCCATTCAAATACCACCATGATACATCCCATTCACATTGACCCAGAACTACCCGGTCGCTCTGTTTAGCTAGAAAACCAGAACAGTTTCCTAATTACCTAATATTATGTTTTCTTTGACAATCCTGCAGCAAATTCTGTACAATCTTCTAGATTATTGTGTTTAAAAACAGAAGTAATTCTGTTTAACCGTAGTGCAAAAACCACAGGAATGCTTAACTGGAGGAAGACTGAAAGGAAGAGCTAAGGTGGAAGAGAGAAACGAGCATAGTGACAGGTAGAGCGAGGAGGATGAAGAGTAAGGAATGGGTAAATTGGAAGCTGAACATCAAAGATAGAAGGTGGCAGCAGCAGAGTTTAATGGAACGAGGTGAAACTAAAATGACAGGCGATAACTCGTCCTAATCACTCTCCCCTGGAACTAAATCTCCACATTACCCTGACTGCAAGGTCGATGATACGCACCCAGATGTTCTCTTCTTCTGTGAATGCTCACTGTTTAGATTAACCATCGTGCCTGATTTGTTTTTTGTTTTTTTAACTATTTGTGGGCAGCGTGCTTTTGCTAAAATTCAAAATGTTAATGGTTGTGCTGGATTGCAATCATACTAACAACAGGGTAACCGTAACTTGGCAACAGAAGTTACAATTTTTTGGCACGCACAAAGCAGCAGTGCGGTTAAATTGTTTTGATGAATCACGTGGAAAGTATCTCCACGATGCCGGCGGCTTTTGACACCTCAGATAGAAAACGTGTTGAGCTGCCCGCCCTGTCTTCTGTCTGTTTTAAGCAATGAGGAAAAGAGAGATTTATTCTCTGGACTTTTCATCTTCTAACACTTTGAGTTTTTCTAGTTATTTGGTGTGATCTTTTTTCTTCTTCCAATGAATCAGCAAATCGCATAATGTAACAAAAATGATTATGTGGAGACTGTCATGCTACTTTTGCAACAACAACAAAAATCCGAGGCTCTGATTTAACTTTGAAGCTACAAACAAGTTCTGTTAAAGCTTTTACAATATAAAAAATGCAGTTGAAAGATCAGAATGTGAAATATCTGTTAGGTACTAGGTATTCAAGTCATAATGATGACTTAGTTTGTTAACCATCAACCTGAATTTTTACAGATTTATTGCACATACATCTGTGTATTATTTTTAAAATACATAAATCCCACTTATAGTTGTGTGCTACAGTGTGTGTCATAAACTTTCACTCCCCAAGGGTTACTGGACTTAGATTAAATTTTAATTGAAAGTGTCATAACATTGTGCGTAGCTACAGCTCCATGCTGCAACATTAACAACGAGGCTCTATTATTTCCATGCTTTCCACAGAGGTCATCAGCTTGTTAGAATGGAGACTGAGCACTGTTAAATCCTGCCCACACTGGAGGGGAAAACAATACATCGCTCTTTAATGACTTTGTATTGTCACCATTTGTGTTCCATCTAGATTGTTAAGCTATTTTTCCAAGCTGTCTTGCTCATGTAAAAGCAGCATTGTGACTATATACTTTACAGTCTCAAGTCTATTATGTTGAAATGGAGTGGCTGTGTCATTATGGCCATTTCACAATAAACAAAATATCAGTTTAATGCATAAGATGAATGTAGACAGCTAGGTGTGATCAAGCATCCACTGAACTTTGCTTTTGAACCAGGTTCAACCTGACTCACTGTATTTGTATGACGAGATGTTTTAGATCTCTAATCAACACTTAATTATTGGAAGTATCTGTCTGAATTCAAGTCTGTAACAGCCTGAAAACACAACACAGGCTATAAAAATGTCTGCGAATGTCTGGTGCTTAGGGGGCAGCAGTTGGACAATATTCAACTGTTTTGTTTTTTTGACGAGCAGCTAGTGACAGCTAATAGAAGAAAACAGACTGAAATCAAAGACTTACTTAAAAGTGCAGCAAATTTCTGGAGATAAATCACTGTTACCCACATAAACCTCAAACACAGACGGGGAAGCTTCAGAGGATTAGCAACAATCATTTTTTTATTACTTTCAACATTGAAACTCTCAATCAGGATAAAACAATTAAAGAGCAGTTTTGTCTTTTGGAGCTTCTTTGTGTAATTCTAAGGGTCTTTTATTTGTCTTATCTTTGTGTGGAAGGCAGATAACGGTCTTCAGAGAGACAGGAGAAAATCTCACAGCCACACACAAACACATATTAAGTCAGATTAGATTAGCCTCAGAGGTAAAGACGCTTAATGAGAGATGACCGATAAAAATAATTGATTGTGTATTATATAATATATTGTTTTAATAATATCTGTATAATGTCTGTGCTGCACTTTGACCTCGGCCCCACCTCCAGCCTCACACACACACACCCATGCACACGCTCACACGTACGAGCACAGTCCCCTTGACATGCTTTTACATGTGCAAATAGCAAGCTAGCCAAGACCTGCAGCAGCCTGTTGCTAGGTTACCTCTTTAGTGATTCTTTCTCATCCCAAGTAACAAACAGCGCCACTGTTGCCTGGTACACACACGTAGTACATGCACACACACATGCAGACATATAGGCAGACACCAGCTCACAAACATTGTCCATCTCTGTGTAGACAGAGAAAGCACCTGTCTGCTTTATGGGTTTAATCTCAGCGAGAAGGGAACGAAGGGACACTCGCTTGGCCTTTAAGGTCCACTCCACCTCTCGCTCTCAGCCAAGCTGCCTTCAGAGGCAACAAATAGATAAATGTGTGGGAAATGACTGCACCCAGGAATCATTTTTCTACAGCTATGAGGTTGTTTTGAAGATTGTGGTCAAAGGAGGAGAGTTTGGGCAAGCAAAGTGCAGAGATGCATCATTCCCTTGTAGAAATCGGTGTGAACTCATTTCAGAGGAATACAGCCAACAGGTGAGACAGTGAAGGATTTAAGTATAAACTTTATTCTAAGATGATGGCAAGCCACAGAACACTGCTATGACTTGGAGGGGGTGTTGAGCACACTGGGATCATAAAGCCAAAGAGGAACTTCAGCCATTGTCATTGTTGATTTTTTTAAGTGTTGTGAGTATTAAGGACGCCACAAAGAATATTTGACGCCGACCTTTTTGTAGTGGTCACCATCAAACGACATGAATGGCCGTTTCTTATTTATACATCTAAGTTTCTGTTTGTTCGTTTTCGAATTGTTTTGATATGTCCTTAATCGACCACTTAGCATTAATTTGCAGAACGCTAGCATTTTACAGTCTAAATTAGCTTACCTGTAAAAGAAAGAAGCAAACTTGGGACTACTTTCTTTTTATTTAATTTACATAAATTCACCAGCCACCTTATAAGGTATGCCTAGCTGGTACTAGGTTGGACCTCATTTTGACTTCATTGCTGCCTTAATTCTTCATGCCATAGATTCAATAAGGTCCTGGAAACATTCCTCAGAGATTTTGTCCATATTGACATTATTGCATCACACAGTTGTTGCAGATTTGTCTGCAGCACATCTATGATCCAAATCTCCTGTTCTACCACATCCCAAAGATGCACAATTGGACTGAAATCTGGTGACTGTGGAGTCATTGTCATGTTCAGGAAATCAGTTTGAAATGATCTGAGTTTTGTGCCATGATTCAATATCCTCCTGGAAGCAGCCATTAAAAGGTGAGTACACTGTGGTCATAAATGGGTGGACACCCATATGGAAAAGAAAAAGAAAAGACTTATAAAAGACTTGCATCAGATGTGGCCTACTTCATATAGTCAATCGTATAAGGCTTATATGATTTACTCATGAAAGTGGCCACTTTCTCATTACTTTCATATATTGTTTTAGTAAGTATCCAAAACATACAAGTTTCATTTATATAATTTTTCAAGGGATCTTATATCTGTTTCACTCTTGTATTCTTTTCATACAAGTTTCACACAAGACGGATACAAACTTTATAAGATTTATATATATATATATATATATATCTGTTCCATTTGGGCATGGTCAGCAAGAATACCCAGGTGGGCTTTGGTGTTTAAATGCTAAATGCTAAGTTGGTACTAAGGGACCGAAGGTGTGCCAAGAAATTAATCAGAAACTGAATTCTTTATTAATCTGGAAGGAAATTATGTGGTCACAGCTGCTCCAAGACAGTAAGAACAGTAACTGACAAGTTAAAGTACCAGCTCTTACTTTCTTTCTCTTTCCCCCACTTCACTACACCACCAGCAGCAGTTTGAAACTTTGAACTAAGGCAGGAAGGCTCCATGCTTTCATGGTGTTTATGTCAGATTCTGACTTGACCATTTGAATTTCGGGGGAGAAACCGAGACTCATTGGACCAGACAAAGTTTTTCCAATCTTCTATTCTCCAGTTTTGATGAGCCCATATAAATTGTCTACTGTAGTCTATTTGCGTCATGGCTCAATGTGTTGTGTGGTCAGAGTGCTCTTCTGCATACCTTGTTTGTAACAAGTTTCTTTGACCTCTGGCATCGATGAGACATTTTCACCCAGGGCACTGGATATATTCTCTTTTTTGGACATTCACTGCAAATCATAGAAATGGTTGTGTGAGAAAATGCCAGTAGACCAGCCCATCTGTTCCTTCGATTTCCTTTTTTTTCCTATTCAGTTTGAGCTTTAGTATGTTTTCTTGACAATATGTACATGCCTAAAAGCCTAACAGCATTTTATTTGCAATATATATCAGATTCTCCACTCACCCTGTGGGCGATCTTAATCCTTCAACGCGGGTCCTTTACCAGAGGCCTGAGAGTTTAAGGGTCCTGCACAGCATCTTTGCTGTTCCTAGGACTGTGCTCTACTGGACAGAGATCTCAGATGTCGTTTGTGGGATCTGATGGAACCACTCACCCTTGGCACTTGGTACTTCTCAGACTTTACATCTTCCTTTTTTCTGATGTTGCTATGACTCGTTATAGCTACATCTGCCACTATGACCTTCTTCCTCTGCTTGTCGACTACTACTATGCCCACTTGGTTAGCCATCATCAGCTTGATCATCTGTATCTGGATCCATCTGCATCTAGAAGTCCCACAGGATCTTCATTCTCAACCTCCCTCGTGGGCTGCCACTTTACATAAAGCCACACACAGAGTTTAGATGTTTAGATGTTCATTGTCACAACAGTATTACAAAAAAAACATTTGTTCATGCAAACAAGATTTCCAGATGATAAAACTAACAAGACTGTTTTTGCAATACTGTGTGCTCACAATAGTCTTTAATGTAGTGTATCAGTCATAACTGTAAAATGTCAGTCAGTAATGTTACCTTGCTACCAGATCTACGTAGGTGGAAGCTGTTCAGCTTTGTCAGTGTGATCAATCGGCGGCTCTGGTGTGGACTGGAGTCGGTAGAGCATCCCACAGACTGTACTGTGGAAATTGTCATCCTTCACAGTAAAGGGACATAAAGATTTAAGTCCAGAATACTGCTCGCTAGAAGTAATAAATCAAGAACATTGTATATAAACACAATACACAGATTTATATTAACAATAATTAACTTCCAAAAAAGTTACAAGTTACAGCATAGTATGATTATCAGGTGTTTCATGCGTGTGAAATTAGTTCTAGATACACAAGGCATGAGTTTCATAAAGTCTATTGATAGAATAATAGCTGATAAATAAGGTAGTTTAAAGCACAGCATGGACAAAAACTAGGTTTAGGTTAGTAGAAATGCAACAAACCACAATCCCTGTTTAGTTTGTCATAGCTTTGTATATGTATGTGTGCGCGTGTGCGTTTGTGGGGACCAAAATCTGACATTTATTACTTTCTGCACCGTGGGGACTAAAATCCAGGTCCCCTCGGGGTTGAAAGCAATTTTCATGCTCAAAATGTGGTTTTAGTGTCAGGGTTACAATTAGGTTATGGTTAGGTTTAGGGTAAGGGTCAGGGTTAAGCATTCATTTTGGAGGGTTAGGGTTAGGGGCTAGGGAAAGCATTATGTCAATGGGATGTCCCCATGAGGATAGCAAACCAGACGTGTGTGTGTGCGTGTGTGTGTGTAATTAATTCATATGGTTTTCTAACAGACTACAAGGATTCAGTCTGCACTATTGTCTCGCCCTCCTGTTTCATCTCCCTCTTTCTTTCTCTCTCTCTCACCTCTTTTCCCCATCCTTTCTTACTCTGCAGCAAAAAACTGCTCCTACTTCAAACACTTTACGTCGGGGGAGGAAGCTGAAGTTTTTGAAGTCAAGACCCAGAAAGGTGGGTGTTTCCTCAAAGCCACATAGGCTACATGTGTTACAACAGCATCCAAAATGTATAACAGGCAGAAAGCTGTAGTTTGCCTTTTGATTTTCCATATAATAAGATAAAGCTTTAACATAAATACAGTGCACACCATTTCTCTCAGAAATCAGATGAGAAATGAATCTTCTACAGCCTCAGATTTGATCTTTTTATCCCTTTTGTGTTTTCAAAGTAAATGTGATTCAGTGAAAAAGCTACTCTCTTCTTATGACGACAAGCTGATGCTTTTAACTTAAGGTAGAGAGAAAGACACACTGCACACAGACATAAAGATATACGTTTAGAGAACACTGCTTTAGATAAATGTTATAGGTACACTCCACAGGTACAGTATATGTATATATGCACTACACAGTATACACTATATATTCTTAATTTTTTAATTCAGGTGCTTTAGGTCCCATCTCCATAGGTGTACGAAATCAAACATCTAGCCATGAAATCAGCCTTTACAAACATCTATTAAAAAATGGGTCACTCTAAAAAGCACATTGAATTTCTCTCTTCCCAGATTTTCCATCACCAACTGAGTGCTGTGTTATATGGAAGTGTTTAGCCACAAATAGGCAAACCAGGGTTGCCATGGTGTGTATAAGTCACCGTTACTCTGCTGACTCAAAGACTGCAGAGTCACAAACCTCCTGCAGCCTTAACACTGGCAAAACTATCTGCCAGGAGCTTCGTAGCAGGGGTTTGAATGGCTGAGCAGCTCCTGTAGGTGTAATTTGTAGCTTGCCAAGTACTTTTATTGTGTATTGAGCCGTGTTTGCCTTCTACAGACTCATGCTTTATTATGTTGCTAATATGACTCCATGTAAAGGCATTTATAATATGTTTCATACAAGTATGGCTGGAAACATCACTTGCAACACTGAGACCAAAAACCCCCCAAATGCAATAAACAATATATATGATTTTTTTTTAAGTCTAAAAATAAATTATAACAGAAAACTTTACGTAGAATAAAATACAAGAAACAACATCAAATTCAGACTGTCTGAAAACACCTGCTCAGCAGTGAGGCACAAACACGTAACTGTGTCTGAAATGTACAAACACTGGGATGCATTCACATACCTTCATACACACAGACAGACAAAAGTCCTGAAAAACAACCTGCACTGGAAAGACGGAGTGTAAAGTTGTTTTACACTCGGTGTTATTCCCCAGCCGGGGTGCTGAAATGGAATAGGACGCTCCAAGGATCATTTGAGTCACAGCTGGAGTGTTACAGAGAAGAAAAGAATAGATTATCTTTATCTGGAAAACAGACAAAAAGGAAGAGGGCGGGAAGAGAGCGACAAGTTCTAATCATCTTGTTATAAGCCTTCAGCATCTTATCTGTCATGCAAGCGGCATTATTGCCAGTTTGGATGAATGGCTGTTGTTTTAAAAGTGGGGCTAATTTAAAGGCTAATTATCTGTGACATAACTCGGCTGAGCACAGTACTGAAACAATTATTATGTAAACGATACTGTAATCCTCCCCTTCTGCTCCTACCCACTGTCTTGGTTTTTAATCACCTCCACTTTCTCTTCTTTTTCTTCCCCTGCTCTCAAAGACGACCGTGTTTACTGTATTTTTCCCTCTCTTCGTTTCCCCTTTTCGTTCATCTACTTCTTACTAATTTCTACTAATTTTTTTCTTCTCTTTCTGCAGAGTACAATATCTCAGCAGCAGCCATTGCCATCTTCAGTCTGTTCTTCATGATCCTGGGCACCCTGTGTGTAATCTTCTCCTTTGGGAAAGGGCGGGACTATCTGCTCCGGCCTGCTGGGATGTTTTTTGCCTTTGCAGGTCAGCTATTACAGATGATTTTGCCTTGTAATTACAGCTCAATATGAGCTGTGTCATTGTCATCGTGTTGCACACCCTCTTCACTGGTGATAAATGTTACTTATGCAGAGTTAATAAAATTGTTTCATGTTTGTGAGAGACAGAGAGAGAGAGGTGTCAAATGCCGATAGAGTTGATGTTTCTCTGAGGTGACAATTTCAAATATCTAAGTGTTAAATTACCTATGATTGGTGTGGGCGCCGATCTGTTCCAAACTTAAAATAAAACTGACAATCTTCTAGTATAAACGAGAAACTGTGACAGCGTTTGACTGAACCGTCTCGACAACACAAATGGCATGAATGCAAATGAAGCATCTGCTTTTTCTGAAGCCGATTATAACCAGTTCTCTCTTTCTGGCACGCAGGCCTTTGCATCATCATCTCTGTCGAAGTAATGCGCCAGTCTGTGAAGCGCATGATCGCCAGTGATGAGACCATCTGGATTGAATACTACTACTCCTGGTCATTTACCTGCGCCTGTGCCTCCTTTACACTGCTCATCCTCAGTGGAGTCGCCCTGCTCCTCATCTCCATGCCTCACATGCCACGTAACCCCTGGGAGACATGCATGGACGCTGAGCCTGACACCTTAGATTAGCCACAGGTGATGTAACAGCTATATCTTTAAAAAAAAGAAAAAACACACACACTCGCTCACACACAAACAACTGTAACTATAACCAACTTTGCTCTGAAAGGAGATGTTTTCTCTTTCTGTTATTATTGCGATCAATTTTCCAAAGCATTAAAAGATTTTCTGCATCATTTCTCATGATCACATCCATTGGTTTCATTCAGTGTTTACCAAAATATTAACACAAAATATCAACACATTGTAGAACAATTGGGACCAAGAACTGTTTAAAAGTAGGTAAGTTATATCTGAGATGTGAGACTGATTTGCCAAGACTCATCTTTCTGTATTTCTAAAAGCTCCTATTACTTTTTTCATAAAATTCATATTTTCAAGTAACTATGACTTATGTTACGGTACCAGATCAGCCATGAAAGAAGTAAATATCGTTGTGACAATAAATAAATCAATGATTGGCAAAAGCTGTGTGACATCTGAAGAGTGGATTCCTTCAAACAGTCCCAGGCTTTTTTTCGCCATTTTTGTCTGTATGTCAACCAGTAAATCATTCCTGAAATGTTACTGCATTAAAGGAAATTAAGTCTGAAGTTTTTCTGCTTAGCATATATTTGGCTAGTGCCGACATGTCAGCATCTTTCACACAGACTACAGGCAGCCAAGACAGTGTCTTACTGACCAAAGCAATTGTAAGGAGGATTTTGGTGCGACACTGTATAGTTCTGTGTGACCAATTTACCCTAGTGACAGCCAGAAACCTCGAGCAACAATTCACCAATCAGTCAGGCACCAGTGGTTGCTAGGCCGTCACCATCTGGTCTCAAGGCCTGTGTGACTGGGTCTTCAGGGGTCACTGTCAAGAGCCTATATAATGCCAGGTTTTAATGAGGTGTAAATATAATAGATCAGCAGTTTGATTTTTTAATACTGGATATTGGATCGCTATAACTGAGGAATGAATCAGTCTAAAGTATTATGGTATGCTTTGTACAAATGTGGAAGAAGTAACACATTTAAAAAAAAAACCCATCTGGAATGCTCTTTATGTCCTGTGTAGACAGATTCTTTTTCATTTGTACATCACATTTAGTTGTTTGTGACACATTAGCCTGTAAAGAAGTCCAAACTGCTGGGCAGTTACATATACATTCATAATGTATCTGGTCATCGGTGATTTATCTGACACCAGTACTGCCCAACTGCAGTAAATCTAGTCCTTATTAAAGTAAGATCCTTTTCAAATGCATTATTATACTGAAAATCAACAAATAAATCAGAAAAAGAAAGACTGACTTTTTTTGTCTTTTAAGAAAGACTGAACTAAATCTGTACCCCACCACAACAGATAGGAAGAGTGAGCTTACACGCTTAAATGAGTTGTAATGGTCGGCAGCCTTTTCATTCCTCCAACTTTCTACAATCGATCTATGCCATTGATCATCGTAAGAGAGACACCGTATCCCGGATACTCCCTCGTTGACATAAGTCATTGATTTTTGAGTCACTGTTCAAGATCCCTAGTGATTTAGGCCTAGCAGCTCTGATCCATACTGTTGTCAATAATATCTGCTGAACCTCTGGCCTGTGCTTTGTATGTTAGAAATGTTCTGTTGTTAGTCGAGATCCAGAAAAAAGTAGTTAAAACACTGCAAACATCAATTTTAAGAACATCGCTGATTATTTATATATAACAGCAATATCTTACTCGATATATAAAGAATTTGGGTGGTGGTCCCAATACTTAGTTTCAGGTATGTAAGCTAAACAGTTATCCTAGAATAAAATGCTGGACTGATCTTCTAAACTTGAAAACTAGTGACACACTATAAGAACAATGTGGTTTCTTTTCTTCAGTTGTCTGCACGAGTGATGGGCAAGGTGTCTGTGCAGTCACATTATGGGAACCAGCAGAACACAGCAAGATCAAAACCATACAGTGTTCAATGAATGCTGTATAATTTATTGAATGAACTGGGGGATCAGGTCTGCAACCAATCGCACTCAGTTACTTTGGTGCATCAAGACGGTGATAAAATGGCAATAAGATGGAGTCAATCTGTTATCAGTTTGCAGCTGAATAGGTTCAAGTTGGCAGTTGCATCTGTTTGTGATAATATGGCAATCACAAATGTGTTACCGTATGCTGCAAACCTGTTGTTTATGCACACAGAAATTCATATTAACTACTTACATTCAGAATTCATCCAGAACCTCGTAGATATGAAAGAGACATTCACAAATAGTGACATATAGTGACATAGTTGCTGCTGGACAGCAATCTACCAGCAGCATGACATACGCCCTCGGCAACGTCACGTTTATATAAGAATATAACCAGAATAAAACCAGTTGGCAACCAGCTGAGTCGTGTCCCCTGTTGACTGAAATGTTTTGGCAATCTGTCTGTGTTTATGAATTAGAAGGCAATTATTTGCACTCAGTCCAAGTTAGACCGCAGTTACTTGGAGACCAGTTTCCTCCCACCAGGTAGCCTGTGCAATCATCCTGAAAGTGGTCACGGAAAGTGGTCACCAAGAGGTTTAGGGTGTTGCACGTTCAACCTCTGAGCAACCAGCAGGTCATCACAGCTACTTGCAAGCTTAGTCTCCAAATAAAACCGGCCCAAAAAAGATAAAAATCTGTGCAATCACCAGGCAACCGCTGATTTTAACCAGTCATTTACGAGTATACAGGTTGCCATACTATTTTTACTCTAGTGTGACTAAGCCATAACAGCAGCTCCAGCCTATCAATCCACTGCTTATTTATTAACTATTTAGGGGATTGTCACTTACAACTTATCAGTTGTGAACATTTAAAAATCTACATTAATTTATTAATAATAATTATTATAATTTATCAATAGTCCTAGTGCTACCTAACAACAGCTGGTTGCATTAACAAGTGACAAAAACTGTCCAAACCGAAGAGCCAAAGCTTTTGTCTACCTTTAAATGGGATCGGCCATCGCTCCAGTTTTGCTCCAGATAGTAATGTTTTTTTAAAAGAAAAAAGAAAAAAAGAGGAAGACCATTAAGACTTTTTTTTTCATTCCAATGCAGTATTCACATTTTTGTTGGGATTATTTTCCATTATGGGGTCACAAATATTTAGAATAAGTCGTGTTTTTTTTAAAGTATTGTCATTGAATGTAAAATAGTAATTCGAATGATGATGAAGAATTTTATATCTTAGCTGTCTAAAGAAAACCGTGATCGGAAAGATGTGGCTTTTTATTCAGTTTCACAGATGAAATGAATCAGAGATGATCTCTGCAACAACAAAAACTCCAATGTCTGATTTTACCTGACGGCAGTCGTTTTGTAACAAAATGTTAACCAAAAAAAAAAAAACTGTCTACATCTTATATGTTATTTCTCAGTGAGTCACTCAGCCACGGAGTTATTCAGCTGGTGCAGGTACAGCAAAATTAAAGATCCCTGAATGATGATGCTTCACTCAAGAACACAAGAAGACATTATTACTTTTATCTCTGAGGTCTTTCTGAGAAAGAACAATCCCATTTTCCTTACACCAGTACGATATCCACGTTTGTATTTTAGGATTATTAAATAAAACTTGCATGTATCTTCATTTTGTTAACTACTAATGAGGATGTGAAATGATCCTGTGAGTGAATCTGGCCAAAGAATGACTCAAGACATGTATTTAATCATAATAATAATAATAACAATAATAATAATAATAATATGCATAATAAAGCATTTATACCAGTTCTGTGAAAAAAGACTGACTCAGTGTTATTACAGTAATTATATAAACAAGGTGATTTTTACTTTTGATTTGTAAAATTGCTCTTATATGTCAGTGATTAGCTTTTTTAAAAGAATAAGATCATGTTCATCAAAAAGTTGAGTAAAGCTTTTTAATTCTTTGTTTTTGTGCAAGTGAATGTTGAATTTTTACATTTTTGGGGGGCATATTCTTCCACATTGACCTTCAAATGTCTACTAATTTATTACTCATGCTTAATCATGTTAGTTCCTCTGTACTTACATTGCTGTTGAAATCATATTAACACTAATAAAACAGGGCCTTTCCCTCCTATTATGTTTTGATATGTTTAGCTGTAGAGTGACAAAGTGGATTGTTTATTTATTTCAAAATAAAAGTGGTATTTTAAGTCCTTTCTTGACCAAACATTTCATTGTATTTCCATTTTTTTTTCACTTTGCCTTTACAGTTACAGTATGTTCAGCACCACAGAGTCTTTACCTTACAGTATAAAGCAACTTGAGACATTTGTTACCGTGGTACAATCATAATAACACTGAATTAATAGTGAACCACGTTCAGGGAAGCTTTCAACCAGAAAATGTGCTTGAATTCAGAGACAAACCTACTGGAAATTCTTCAGACGCCTAACATTCAGCAAGTTAAGGTTTTTCAGGGGTGGATGTAATAGATGGATGAAAATCTTTAAATCATTCATGACATACTTACCTTACAAGAATGAGAGCAGCATTGGTAGAGCATATACTAAGAGCACCCATGTGCTTTCTACATTTGTTTGATTTTAGATTTTCCCTCATAGTTAATTAAGCAACTGCAATGACGCCTTTAGGAGTAAATTCCACTTTATCATTGCATTCCACTTATAGTTAGACTTTCAATTGTCTTTGGTTACAAAAAAAAGTTAATACAATGTTTGTTGAACTGCTTTTATATTGTAGAGAAGCACAACTGTCCAGTGAGAACTGAGAACTGAATGCAGATTTAAGCCTTAAGTTTAAATGTTGCATTCTGTTAGATGAGATTTCTGCAGTATGTGAAACATTCAAATTCTATTCAATGCATAATCATTGCATTAATAAAAATATGTAATGTCTGAGCAAGGAATTTCAGATATGAGTACCTTATTTACAATAACTACTCCATGCATGCTAGAGAAAATTTGGACTGATTTACCTCCCCAGTCACTTCATTAGTTACACCTGTCCAACTGCATGTTAAGGCAAATATTCAATCAGCCAATCACATGGCAGCAAGTCAATGCATTTAGACATCTGAGCATCAGAGTAGGAAAGACAGTGATTTAAGAGACTTTGAACAGGGCATGGTTGTTGATGCCAGAGAGGCTGCTGTGAGCATTTCAGACATGCTGATCTACTGGGATTTTCCCACACAGCCATCTGTGGGGTTCAGAGAGAATGGTTTGAAAAAGAGAAAAATATGCAGCCTTGTTGCTGCCAGAGATCAGAGGAGTATGTGGTCAGACTGCTTCAAGCTGAGAGGAAGGCAACAGTTATTATAATAACCGAGGAATGAAGACGAGTATCTTGTCTTCCTTTTAGCTGCTGTACCTGTGCCACTCCTGTCTGCTAAGAACAGAAAACAAAGGCAATAACTGCAACATTCTCACCAAAATTGAACAAATTAGCAACAGTTGCTTCATCCGATGAGTCATCTTTTCTTCTGTGAGATTTGAATTGTACAGAATTTGATGTCTTTTGATGTCTTAAGGATCTGTTATACCTGCTGTTGTCACTATCACAAACTGTGGTGACCGCCAGAAGCAATGTAACATCAGCTGTGAGCCATGCTTTGGTGTTGTTTCAGCTGGTCTTACATCTCTCAATATTTGTAATGTCACCCAGGCAGACTGACCAGTGCAGGTGTGCTAAAGTGTACAATCGTAGTGGTTTTTACTACCATTTCATAATATATAAGTGCATCAGCGCATAGATTTATATTATATTAAAATATTATACAGATGGAGATGTTGAAAAAGGAGAAAACGTTAAAAAAAAAAGATACAGCAGAATTCAGAAATTCCAAGTTCTGAAGAAGAATTTTCAAGTATGTCCTCACTTCAAACTCAGAAAGTCCAGGAAGCCCCACCAACCCTGATTTTATCCTGATTTCAGGATGGTAGCAGGTACACATAAACATTGGTAAAATTAAAAAGCTGTGTTGCCACTCTTGTGATTTGTGACTCCTTAAATAATCCATACACAGATCGCTGTCCATCCATCTATTAGTGAATGTGCTGAAGTTTTAAAGCACAGAGAAAGAAGCAGAAGCAAAAGAAGCATCTTTTTTGTATTGCTAGTGATGCATGAGTTTTGCTAGCTTACCAAAAGAAATCCTGTTTTTCCTTGCTTTTGTGGCCTTTCTACTGGAACACACCCCTCTCAGAAGTGATGTAACTCCCAGTTCTGACATCTGACTCCCAAGGCAAATACAATATAGCAAAACTGAAACTAGATTGCTCCTTGTTGCAGCTTTCTACACTCCTATTCCAGCGCTGATGCAGATTTTTTGTCTGACTAGTGACACCTAATGCTCAGGAGAATACTGCAGTGAGTCTGTCACAGTCTCAGCACCATCCAGAGTCTGTCCAGAGTCTGCAATACAAACCACGAGGGCCCCTGAGCATTGCTTAAATGCCACATCCTGAGCATGGCTGTTAAACATGTCCATCCCTTTATAACCACAGTCTACCCATCTTCTGATTGACGCTTGGAACATGATTATGTCACTAGGCTCAAATCATGTCAAACTGGCTTCTTGAACATGACAATGAGTTCACTGTGCTCAAATGGCATCCGCAGTCACCAAATCTCAGTCCTGTGAAGCACTTTTCAAATCTCTGAGGAATGTTTTCAGCGTCTTGTTGATTCTTCACAATTCTGAAAGCAAATGATGATGATGGTCCACTCCAGTACTAGCAAGCTGTGAGATATGAAGTGACCAATAAGTGTCACTTCATATCTCACTGCATTTGGTTCAAACAAGATTAAATGTCAGTGGTTAAAAAAAGTCTTACTAGAAACCCTCAAAAGGTGCAACCAAACAGAGATGTGGTCAAAGAAGTGCCATAGTTTATCTCACCTTTGTCTCACTTAGTTGACAAAAACAAGCTGACGTCTGCAGCAGTCATCCGGTCCTCTGAGTCACCGCCATGAATGTAGAGCTGTCATTCCCTTTCCTGACCTCTGACTGAGTGCTGTCAAAGCTGTTACTATTCTCTACACACCACCATTACAGTACCAGTCTTTCCCATTCAGCCCAATTACTCAGAGAGTACGAGCAGGCAAAAAGGCTAAAATCACAGGGTAAGATTTCTTACAAGATGGGTGAATACAAAAGAGAAAAAAATGATGAAATGAAGAAAAAGGATTGAGGACAGCACAGAGAAACACATAACAACCTGAAAAGCACAGATGGACACAAGTTTGCCATGGAGACTGACTGGCAAAAGAAAACACGAGCGCCTAAAGACTGCCAGCAGAAAACGCTGCAAAGTAGACAGAAACAAGAGTAAGACCGCCACACAATACTGAATTACAAACATCTCTCATCCAAGTATATATGACCTGTACCAGAAGAAAAATGTCTGTGCGAGAATGAAATGAATAAACAAAGGTAACAGGCTATCAGGTCCAAATACTGCACATAAAGCTCATATGATTTGATGATCCTAACAGTAATATGTCACAGTCAAGGCTGCACACACAGATTCAAGAGCTGAGAGCGATCAGTTCACTTTCTCCCAGTAGTTTTTATACTTTTAATTCTTTTAAACATAAATTTTAAGGTTCTTAGAGAGTTATCTCCAGAATGTATGGTTGACCTGCTGATCTATGAATCTACTCGCAACTCAGTATGTCTAGGTCAGTCTGCAAAACTAAAGATGTCAGTCTTTTAACTGTACTCACTTTAACTTTCTACTAGTGGTTGGACCCTCTTGTACTGTCAATGCTGCCTTAATTCTTTGTGGCACAGATGTAAAAAAAATGTGCCAGAAACATTCCTCAGAGATTCTGGTCCATATTGACATGACTGCATCACACAGTTGCTGCACATTCATGATGTCAAGCTCCCGTTTCTCCACATCCCAAAGGTGATTTATTAGATTGAGATCTGGTGACTGTGTCAGCTGTTTGAGTACAGTCATCAGAAGATGAGTACACTGGTCTTAAAGGGATTGTCATGGTCAGCAACAATGTTCAGGTCGGCTGTGGCATTAAAACAAAGGGTACAAAATGTGCCAAGAAAGATGCCACACACCATTACACCACCACCATCAGTTGAACCTTTGATCCACAGCAGGATGGGTCCATGCTTTAGTGTTTATGATTAAAAAAAAACATTTGAATGTCGCAACAGAAACCGAGACTCATTAGACCAGGCAACGTTTCCAACCTTCTATTGGCCAGTTTTGGCAACACTAGTGGTCATCTTCGAGGTTCGATGTGTTGTGTGCTCAGAGGTGCTCTTCTGAGAATTTTCTCTTGTACCAAGTGGTCATTTGAGTTACCATTTCCCCTTCCTCTCAGCTAGAAGCATGAGACCATTTTCCTCTAAACGTTGGCATTAAGTAAGCATTTTTACCCAGAGAACTGCCGCCGACTGGATATTTTCTTTTTTTCAGACCACAGTCACCTCTGTAAACTCTAGAGATGACTGTGCTTGAAAATCCGAGACCCACAGACCCAGACCAACCTGTCTGGCACCTACAACCATGCCAACTTCAAAGTCATTTAAAGTTCATTTTGATGCTCAGTTTGAAGATCAGCAGGTCATCTTGACCATGTCTACATGCCTAAATGCACTAAGCTGCTGCCATGTGATTGACCGATTAGATATGTGGTTTAGCAAGCAATTTAATAAGTGTACCTAACAAATGCCTAACAGTATATAAAGTGCTTTATAACTAATTTTAATTACGTTAGACAGTAATCTAATATGTTTATTCTCCCAACTATAGCGGAGCTGCAAACTCAGTAACATCATCATTCTTCTTTATCCCAGAAAATCATCAGAGCTGAAATGTGTCATGCACAGTGTTTGTATGTGTGGGCGTGACAAGCTGTCCCTATTAATGCATGTGTGTCCCTGTCTTAACAGACCCTTGGGCACTGTGGCAATTACTTGCAATATATGACACAAGTAGACACTTGATGACTCGCTAACGGTGGGGATTGGAATGGACAGTTCATGTCCATAAAGGCGTCCATACAGCATCACAGCTACATAAGGATGATGGCAAAGAAAGTCACGTTTAAAGGGAGAAGTACAACAAATAATATCTAGAAGTGGCTGATTAGATAATCAAATGCTATTGATAGAGGAAAAACAATCTGCCTTAAGGCAGATTGTTAACATAAATATATTGAAACTG